GTTACCATCTTCAGACAAAAGTACTGAATGAGAAATTTTACCAATTTCACCAAACCATGCTGTGGTAAAATTTCTCATTCAGTACTTTTGTCTGAAGATGGTAACAACGCTGTTACTGAAATGTCACACACTATTTATTTATTTGGATTTGGTCTTATTACCTTGTTTAAAACATTATGGAGAGAGATATTTGATGACATAACTTGCTGTTTTGATCACTGCACTTGCTAGAATGGTTATATTGGAGCAGTTTGTAACTCTCTGGGGATATACTGAGTGAAACTTCTCTTTAATGATTGAGTTATAAATTCAAACTGTGTTGCACATAATATTTTTTCCATCTCTTTAAATGAAACCTAAGGTAACAAGACCAAATCTCCCAATTAATAAATTGCCTGTGACATTTTGATAACAATGCTCTTACTGAAACATCCCACAAAATTTATTAATTTAGATTTGTTACCTCATGTTTCTAATCTAAAACCCCAATTGTACCTTATGACATTTTAGTAATTGGAATTGGTTTTTTGCCTTTCGTTATTAGTACCAATTGATGAGATTGACTGGATAGGTAAGATAAAGTTTGATCTTGTTGCTTTCCCCCTACTCTATTATACTCATGGACAAAACTTACGGAAGTGGAAAGTCCTTGATTCGTTGGTCATTTTTTTTTTTTAAAGAGACAAAGGCAATTTTGTTGACATTTGGTTATCTCGTGTAACTTCAATAAAGGTCACTGTGTATCAACTATCTTTCAGAGTTATTGTCTGAATCTCGATATACATGCTAAAAGATAAAACTTTCTTAAGTTTTGTTAATGAGTGTATATGCTATGCCTTCATGTGTGGGTGAAGTCTGGGGACTGGAGAGTAGTAGTCCGATTGGATAAACTGCAATGTTAGAAAGCACAAGGTAATAAGACCAAATCCAAATAAATAAATAGTGTGTGACATTTCAGTAACAGCGTTGTTACCATCTTCAGACAAAAGTACTGAACTATTACCTTGTGCTTATAATCTATAATCCAAATTGTGCCTTATCTGCAATGTTAGTATTTCTCCTGGTTTACAACCAAAGTCAATCTTTCACCGATGCCTTCACTCACAACACTGCTGTGCAGTCTGAGTCTGAAGGAGCGAGCCCTGCCGGCCATTCCGCCTCAGCCCCCGCTACGGCAGGACTCCAACGAGACCACAGACACCACCACGCCTGAAAGCACCTATGCCGTGGTGATGAAACCCACCCCCACCCGACCCAAGAGCTACAATCCCAAGAAGAGCCCAGCACCTTTGCCTCCACCTTGCCGCAAAAGCCTTCCTCCCTTGGTAGGTCCAGGAGCTGCTCTTCACATCCCTGTAGAAGTGAGTGCTTGAACTATTTAAATCTTGATTCTTTCTTCAAATATTGTGTGCAAATAAGTTCTATACAGTTTAACCTCTTTAATTTAAATCACTATAATCCAATCATATAAAAAAAAGCATATATATATTATACTAGACGAATGGCCCGGGCAACGCCCGGGGTTTACCCGAGTGCGAATATATTTTAAAAACGTTGACTTGGGTGGTTGCTATTAACAGGGTGGTCTGTATAGACAGGTGGATGTATCACACAGCTGATAACAGGGTTGTCTAGAGTGGTCGCTATAGACAGGGTGGTCTGTATAGACAGGTGGATGTATCACACTGCTGATAACAGGGTTGCCTAAGGTGACCGCTATTAGACAGGGTGGTCTGTATAGACAGGCAGCTGATAACAGGGTTGTCTAGAGTGGTCGCTATAGTCAGGGTGGTCTGTATAGACAGGTTTATGAGAGAGGCAAACTTACATAAAAAAAAAATAAAAAAAAAAAATTAAAAAAAATAAAAAAAAAATAAATAAATAAAAAATAAAATAAAAAATAAAATAAAAAATAAATAAATAAAAAATAAAAAAATAAAATAAAAAAAATAAAAATAAAAAAAATAAAATAAAAAAATAAATAAATAAATAAAAACAAATAATAAAAACAATAAATAAATAAAAAAAAATAAAAAGAATATTACGCCTCTAAAATAGTTTTATAATTTGATAACAGATGGCGCTCTAGTACATCGTATCTACAGCCAATGAGCGCGCATTCTATCCGTGAGCTTCAGACAAACAAACAGACAGAATAAGGCAAATATATAAGTAGATAATCTAAAATGCAAATATTTTATTTTATTTTAAAAACATATATTTTATTTTTCATTCATTGACTGTTATACATTTTTGACCATATATTCAAAATAATAGCACTTTAATTATTAAATAAAAACAAACGATAGCAATGCGTCTCTTTATATTATTGTTGTTGTAAATATGTAAAGTGAACCCTACCTTTTCTAATGAAAATCACGAATATAGAATTCATTTTCTAAATTTTATATTACTGTGATATAAATAATTTTATATGTATATTTTTACTTCAAGAGATTCAAAATAAAAATCTGCTTGAAAGGTAAATAATAATTTTTATTTTTCCACGACTGCACCTCTTTTCAACAATCAAACACACAAAAAATTTCTAATATATAACATATATATATACCTGGATCTGTGAAAAAAAAAATTGTTCTCAAAATATTTAAATTAATATCAATTTAATGCACTAAATTTAAAAAAATATCGTAAAAACAATCTCTTGAAACATTTTTTTCTTTCACAGATCCAGGTAAGCTCTTTTGTATTAATTTGTATTCAATGGATCATCTTTTTAACTCAGACTATAATCCAATCGTTTTTCAAAACCTAACTAACATAGACTATAATACAACAGGAAGCACTTGTCCCTTGTGGTTGTTGTCGTGTCCAATGAAGAGCCTCAGATGTCTCCATGCATCTCTATCACAGCAGCAGCAATGTCCACTAGTCCACTATCTTGGGTGTGTAAAGCTGCTGCTCTGGGTCCATGTCAATTTTCTGCAAGGCTGCAGTCATTTCTTGGAGTGTTGAATTAGGGAAGTTTGATTGTTCTTGCATGGAAATCAACAAGTCACCCTTTAGAGAGATGCTGTTATTCCCTTTGACTATTTTCCAAGAAACCCTGGATGATCCGTAAAGCCCTGGTTGATTTGGGCTACAAAATTTGTTGAATGGCTTAATAAAAGTGGCAGAATTTAGATTCTAGACTCAACAATTGAGTAAACTCTACACAATGTTCCTATAGCAGTATTGTTACCATCAATTTAACCTCTTTAATTTAAATCACTATAATCCAATCATATAAAAAAAAAGCATATATATATACCTGGACCTGTGGAAAAAAAAATTATTCTCAAAATATTTAAATTGATATCAATTTAATGCATGAAATTTTTAAAAAAATATCGTAAAAACAATATCTTGAAACATTTTGAGAAAAAATTGTTTTTCTTTCACAGATCCAGGTAAGCTCTTTTTTATATAATTTGTTGAATGGCTTAATAAAAGTGGCAGAATTTAGATTCTAGACTCAACAATTGAGTAAACTCTACACAATGTTCCTATAGCAGTATTGTTACCATCAATTTAACCTCTTTAATTTAAATCACTATAATCCAATCATATAAAAAAAAGCATATATATATACCTGGACCTGTGGAAAAAAAAATTATTCTCAAAATATTTAAATTGATATCAATTTAATGCATGAAATTTTTAAAAAAATATCGTAAAAACAATATCTTGAAACATTTTGAGAAAAAATTGTTATTCCCTTTGACTATTTTCCAAGAAACCCTGGAGGATCCATAAAGCCCTGGTTGATTTGGGCTACAAAATTTGTTGAATGGCTTAATAAAAGTGGCAGAATTTAGATTCTAGACTCAACAATTGAGTAAACTCTACACAATGTTCCTATAGCAGTATTGTTACCATCAATAATGGCATAGTGGAATTTACCTATCTTGGAAGCATCATAAGAATGGAAGAAGAAGCATCATAAGAATGGAAGAAGCAAAAAGCAATTTTAAGATAAAAATTGAAAATCCAAAAGAGATGGTTTTTTTTTTTTAGGAATAAAGATATCTCAAGAAGATATATTTAAATAATGAGCTGAAATGCTCAAATGTTTTATTTGATCAGTTTTTCTGTATGGATGTGTGAAAATTGGGACAATGAATAAGGAACAGGAGCCCAAAATGAATTCTTTTGATATCTTTTTTTTTTTTGCTTATCCCTAGTACACGTGGTACAGGCCATGATAATCATGGTGGGTAGAATTAGGCGAGTGCTTTTACTGTAAGTGCACCACACATCTACACATGTGAATTCTTTTGATATCTGTTATTATAGAAGGATTTTCATGATCACAAATGGACAGGCAGGGTGATAAACAAAGAAGTTTGTAGAATATTTAATGGGGAGTATAGCTTTCTAAATGAAATAATCAAAGAGATCGTCTATTGACCATTCTGGAAGGATGCAACTTGAAGAATGAAGGGAGAGATTAGACCAAGGAAGTATTGGTTGGATAGTTTAATTGGATGGTCTAGAATTAGAAGATGATGGTCTAAACCGTTGGTTTTCGACCGCTACGACCCGGGTTCGATTCCCGCATTGGTCACTTTTTTCTGATAAAAAATGCTCCAATGGCTCCTGATTCTTGTAAAAGTCCAACCCCACCAGCAAGTGCTAGTAACCAAACGGGACTCTGGCACATTTGTAAGTGCAAAGTCGAACTGCTTTTCACATGTGTAGACATGTGGTACACTTACAGTAAAAGCAGTCACCTATTTCTACCCTCTATGATCATAATAGCCTGTACCATGTGTCCTAGAGATAAGCAAAAAAAAAAAAAAGAATTGAAAGATATGAAGAGGTGAAATATGAATTACTCAAGAAGAGGGTGTTCCATGATGATCAATCTCCACCCGTATTGTAGATGGCTGTGCATATACAATAACATTAATAATACCAAAATAAGGTAATAAGACCAAATATAAATAAATAGTGTGTGACATTTCTATAACAGTGTTGTTACCATCTACAGACAAAAGTCCCACATGGTCTAGTGGCTAAAATTTCTGGCTTTTACCCAGAAGGTCCGTGTTCGATTCCCGGTGTGGAAAGGTTTTTTTTTTCTATCAGTACTTTTGTCTGAAGATTTTAACAATGCTGTTACCGAAATGTCACACACTATTTATTTATTTGGATTTGGTCTTATTACCTTGTGTTTTATAATCTAAAATCCAAATTATGTCTTATCATTAATAATACCAAGATCTTACTCATGATTTATCTATTGTTTATTACATTGGCTTTGATTGGCAGAAAAAAAAAAAGATTCAAGATATCATTTTTATCACAATAGTTTTTTTTTTTTAAATAAGTGTTATCAATACTTGCCTATATTATCTACTCTACAATGTTTCTTTTTCCTCTGCCTGGTGATACTCTCCAACCCCTGATAATGTATGCAAGTTCATATCGTCTGTGACCTTTGGAATCTGGAATTTACCATTTAATTCCAATGCTCAACTGTCCTGCAATGATAATTTTACCATCACAGATTTTGACAGTCAAGTGCCCATTTTCCACCAGTTTTACCTAGTTCCCAGAATGGTACACTTCTGGTAAAGCGGTGACATTGATTAGAATTAGAAGGCCATTTTACTAGCCTTCCATCAATGCACACTAGTATGCAAGTTCATTTTCCTTTCTGCCACTGTTACCACAGCTTCTGCCTGATCCACCAACAAGCTCTCTACTAAAGTGGTTCTGAACATCTTTCTAAGAAGCAGAAGTTTGATTTTTACCATATTTTAAAAGTTCACTTAAAACAAAAGGTAACAAGACTAAATTATTGAAATGTTTGTGATGTTTCAGTAACAGCATTATTACCATCATCAGACAAAGTACAAAATTTTACATTTAGTACTCTTGTCTGATGATGATAACAATCCTCTCTCTCTCTGTTACCGAAATGTCTCAAACATGCAGTTCTTCGAAATCTACAATAGAGAGGTATTACTGTGTATGTTTGTATTATAAACAAAATACAGTTAAACCTGTCTATAGCGCCCCCTCTTGGGACTCACCAAAATAGGGTGCTATAGAGAGGTGGTGCTATAGACAGGTCACTTTTAATGTAAATTGTATCGTACTACGTATTTAAAATCATGCGCTATAGAGAGGAAGGTGCTATTTAGAGGGGAAGCTATAGACAGGTTTAACTGTATCAACATTTCACTCCTTAAAATACTTAATCATTGTGTGTTCCTATAAAGAGATGCTCTTTTGGTTCTCCTAAGGTTATAATCTTCCTGCCAAAAGTAATTGATTTGGTGTTGCTAACCAATATTTTTATAGGGTAGCAACACCAGATCAATGAATTGTTATGTGATATTTTGGTAACCACAACAAGGCTGTTATACAATTTATTGATTTGGTGTTGTTACCTTCTGTTCCTAATTGTACCTTCTTCCTGCCAAATTATGTCTGCCACTGTATGGATATAGAATAGTGAGGTGTTGTGCCTCAGAATGGTGGAGTCTACGGTGAGCCAGTTCCTCCACCGCTCCCCAACGGCACCATCATCACTGTGGAGGTTGACACAGCCACCCCCTCCACATCTGGAGAGCCTGCTCCCACCATAGTTGTTGCCAGCAGTTCCAGTACGGTTGTCATAGCCGCTGCTGTTGTTGTTGTTGACGGTAATTATCTACAATTAAACCTGTCTATAGTGCCCCCTCTTGGGACTCACCAAAATGGGTGCTATAGCCAGGTCACTTTTAATGTAAATCGCATCGTACTACGTATTTAAAATTGGGAGCTATAGAGAGGGAGGTGCTATTTAGAAGGGGCGCTATAGACAGATTTAACTGTATATAGAACATCTAACAGTACTTGCTATACTGGTTCCTAGTGGTATGTCTATGCGAGGGCTCAATATCTCAAGTTGGGAGAACATGCCACATAGCCAATCCTGAATGACATGGCTAGTCAGTATTAGTGCAAAAATAATTGCCGTTTTTTGGTGGTACAGTAAAACCTCCCTGTAAAGGACAACACCTAATTGCAGAGCCAAAGTGTCCTTTAAAGAGAGATGTCCTCTTACCGGAGAGTTGCTAAATAGTAAAAATGGTAATTTTGCAAATGAAAAATGTCCTTTGTAGAGAGGTGGTCTCTAGCGTGAGTGTCTTCTCATGGAGGTTCTATTGTAACTTTAAAATGCAATAACTTACTTTAAACAAGACTCTATTAATCAAAATAAAGAAACCATTGGAATCTATACATCCTTTCCAATGGGAAACTAACTGGTGTATTCCATTTTGATAAAATTTGGAGTTCCAGAGACAATGAAATCATGAAAGGCCGTTTTGGCATCGCCTTGATTTCTAAAGTATTTCTCTCCAAGGGGGAACAAATTGCACTGAACGTTGTCAGTTGTCATAAAAGATCCATTTTTCATCGCAGGGGACAATACGGTCGAGAAAAGGCTCATTTTTGTTTTGTAGAAGTAGCACTGAAGAAACTTCAAAACAGCGATTTTTATAATTTTCACTCAATTCGTATGGTACCCATTTGTCAAGCTTTTTCACCTTTCCTATTTGTTTCAAATGACGAACAGCTTTAGAGTGGTCAACGTTGAGCTCTTCAGCTACTTCTCATGTATTTTTGTTTGTGTACCTCATGTGAAACATTTAACTTGAAACACATCACTATCTCTATATATATAAAAGTCAATTTCTGTCTGTCTGTCTGTTTCGCGATAAACTCAAAAACTACTGAACCAATTGGTACCAAATTTTGCATGTCGCTTTTTATAAACCTGAAGAAAATTTTCGGCTGCATTTTGATTAGTATTTTTGGCTATTTATTTTTTTCATTTGAAGAACTTTTTTTTACGCGGACTAATCCGGAATGGAATGAATACCTAAATATGGCCATTTTTTTAAAGCATCGGTGGTTCAGTGGTAGAATGCTCGCCTGCCACGCGGGCGGCCAGGGTTCGATTCCCGGCCGATGCATTTTTTAAAACAATTTTCAAAACTCATTTATATTATATCTATATTAATAAAATGCAAATTTCATAAGTGGTGTTCGCTAAAAACTTTCGTTACAATGCATCAATTTCGACCAAATTTTCAACATTTATGTAAAACGAGATGGAGCAGGTTTTGCTTAACATCAAAATATTTTTCCTAACTTTAACATGCGTAACTTCGCTGTTATCGATTAAATACAAAAAAAAATCAACAGGGTTAATTTTATTTATATATAAATACAAAAAAAAATTCAGCAATTCATTCAACTCAATCTAAAAAAATATTCAAAACAAGCAATTTTAAGATAACACCATATGTAAAACAGTCGGCCAAGAAAACAACAACGATATTACATCTTTCTCACATATTCACACACAATCTTGATTAATAATTAAAACTAATCTTTAACATTGTTTTTTATACTTCATAATATATAATATTCGTTAGGCAAACTTTCACTCGGATAAAACCCGGGCGAAGCCGGGTACACATCCGCTAGTAATATATATTTTTAAAAAATCATTGGTTGAAGTTTGTTTAAAAAAAATGGAGAAATTCCCCTGAGATGGGTGACAGTGAATCACTGAAATGGCAGGAAGTGAATAAATCAAGAACACAGTTGATGCAGCTATATCTTTTTAAAATTATTGTAAGGGCTCTGACTAAACACATCCACACCCTTTGTTCCCTCCCCATCTTTAAATCTATAGAAAAGAAAATATAATTTCGAATCTCACCTTAGCAGATTCCCACTTCCTTTTATTAATAGACACTCTTACAGGCTTAGTCCCCCCAACCCTCCAACAGTTTACAGATCGACATGTGTTTTACCCTTTTCCTCCCACATAGTTAACATCTCAAGGTTCCTTAAAACATATGGCATCCACACATATTTCAGTAATACCCAAAATTTATCCACACACCTCAGACATCCCATAACCACATCAGACTCGCCCCTGATCTCCTCCATATTACCAGCGCAGTCTACTCTGTCTCATGCACGCAATGTGCTGCCACATATGTGGGTGAGACAGGTAGAAACGTGGCTCTTAGAATATCAGAACACACAAGGAATATTAAAAACAGTGACCCCGGTTCCTTAATCTACCAACACGTCTTCCACAGGCCACACATTCAACCTCAGCCAGCCGACATTCACTACCATCACGTTCCAAACCAGCACCAAAGATTGGTGTTGGAAGCTATAACCTCTGTCAATCTGAACAGTTTTAATAGAAAAATAGACATACCAGATATTTATAAAGTATTCCTGTCCTGACGTGTTTATTCTGTATTCCCTTCACAGTGATATTCCAGTCTCCCCTAATGTGTCTGATTTAGAATTTACCTAATTGTCTTTTTTCCCTATATTTGCATATCTTAATTGTAATCATAGTTATATTTTGTTTCTCCGTCTATAAGAAAAAATGTAAATATGCTAAAATATTGCTTACCATAGTATAAATGGGCTTGTATCTCTTTGAATCTCTTAGCTTTTTGCCAGTAGAAGGGCGTGTGGCCCGAAAGCTCGCTCGCGTATATTAAAAAGAAACTCATCTTCCTTCGTGCTTTACTTTATTTGAATATAAGTGTGCTTTAATCAGTTTATATATATTAAAAATAATGAAGGCATATCCTGACCAGGAGCCATATGTGCTTTTTAGATGGCAGAGCGTCATCTAGTGGAACAGAAATCAACTAAAAATGGATTTAACCTGTTCCCTGATATTTGGCCAACCCATTTTCTTGATAAATTAAGAAAAGCCATCTACGAATATTGTTTTTTCATATATATATATGTGGTATTTGTTTTCCTGCTGATTGGCTCTTCCCTGCTTCTCCTATCTCTCTTTATATTTAATTGAAAATATATCTTTGGCTTACAGATGAGGAGGAGTCAGTAGTGGCCAGGGAGGCTGTGGCCGGCAATGTGCCCTCAGTGGAGATTCCCTACATGACTCCGCCCCTTCAACTGGAAGCTCCGCCCCCCTCCCATTGGTAAGTTGGCATCCACCTGAACCTTGCAGCAGTCTCTGTATAATATAAGCCTTGACATTTTTTTCCCCAAAGTTTTTTTCTCA